TCTCTCTCTCTCTCTCTCTCTCTCTCTCTCTCTCTCTCTCTCTCTCTCTCTCTTCTCTCTCTCTCTCTCTCTCTCTCTCTCTCTCTCTCTCTCTCTCTCTCTCTCTCTCTCTTTCTCTCTTTCTCTCTTTCTCTCAACTTCTCGTCCTTTATCCCTCCTCTACGATAACACATCCAAAACGAGCGTCTATTTCAAAGGCCGCGTAGCTTCTCGATCTTCATTTTTTTTTCCCCGCGGGAGAGTCTGGGAAACTGGTTCTGACTGGTTCCTCGCCAGCAGCAGCAGCAGCAGCAGCAGCGGCCGCATCAGCACCAGCGTTTCCAAAATCCACAAGGATTTTTTGGACAACGCTCCTGACTTAACTCCGATGTGGACGGCACGAGAGGGAATAAGTCATCTGCGTGTGTTGTGTGATTGGGAGGGAGAAAAAAAAAAGTTGGGATAAAGACAAAAGAGAGAGAGAGAAGAAGAGAGAGAGAGAGGGAGAAAGGGAAGGAGAGAGGGAGGCAGATAGAGAAAGAGAGGGGGAGGAAAGGAGAGAGAGAGAGAGAGAGAGATAGAGATAGAAGGAAAGAGGAGAGAGAGAAGGGGGATGGAGAGAAAGAGAGAGAGAGGAGGTGGGGAGAGGGAGAGAGATGGAGAGAGAGAGAGAGAGAGAGAGAGAGAGAGAGAGAGAGAGAGAGAGAGAGAGAGAGAGAGAGAGAGAGAGAGAGAGAGAGGGGGGGGAGGAGAGAGAGAGGGGGAGAGGGAGGAGAAAGGTGAGTGAGAGAAAGAGACAGAGAAAGAAGAGATACATCAATAATATGCCGTGGAAATCAACAGGAAAATAAGATCCCGTCGAACGGAACCTGCATTAAAAAAACAAAAAAAACATTCACAGATGATTCCGCAAACACACGAAGAGGTCATTTAACACAATTTACATTTTATATTAAAAAAAAAGAGAAAAAAACGCGACGGGGATGTACCAGAGAGACCGGTTAGCATAATTCTCTCCTTCCGGAAATCGATTTTTGGACCTGCAGGTGAGGCAGTGGAGAGGCAGAGAGAGTTTACCTTTAAAACCAACGGGGAATTTCAATATCTGTCTGTCTGTCTGTCTGTTATTTTTCTTTTCTTTTTTTTTCTTTCATTTTTTGTCTGGCTGTTAGTTGATTTTTTTTTTTGGTTGTGTGTTTGTTTCACTTTTTGTCTGTTTCCTTTTTCTTTCTGTTTGTTGTCTTTGTCTTCTCTTTGTCTCTTCTTTTTTTTTCTAATTTTCTTTAATTTTTTTCATCGGTTTTCTTCTCTTCTCTTCCCTTCTCTATTTTTAGTTCTTTTTCTCTCCCTTTTTCCTCTCTGCTCCTCTTCTCTCTCCTCTTCACTTCGTTTCTCTTCTCTGTCTCTGTGCCTATCTGTCTGCCTGTCTATCTGTATATCTATTTATCTATGTACCTATCTATCTATCTGTCTATCTGTTTATATATCTATATATCCCTCTGCCTCCCCTTCTATCCGTAGGCCTACAAACTCTATTTTACCTCCTTTCTTCCCTCCTCCCTCTCCCTTCCCCTTCCCTCCCCCCTTCCTCCTAATCCCCCCCTCCTCCTCCTCCTCCTCCCTCTCCCTTCCTCTTTCTTCCCCTTCTCCTCCTCCATCTCCCCCTCCTCATCTCTTCCCTCCCTCCCCCCCTCCCCCTCCCTTATCTTCCGTGATTCCCAAAACGCTCAAAGTGGTTTCTTGTCACGCAGAGGAGAAGGTGGCGGCAAATATTCACGACACGCTGTCTCTTTTTGTGTTGGGGTTCCTAGGTGTCTGTGTGTGTCTGTGTGTTTGTCTGTTTGTTTTGTTTGTTTGTCTTTCTTTCTTTTCTTTTTCTTTTTTCTTTTTTTTTCTTTTTCTGTTTGTTTGTCTGTCTATCTGTCTCTCTCTGTCTGTCTGTCTTTCTCTCTTTCTCTCTCTCTCTCTCTCTCTCTCTCTCTCTCTCTCTCTCTCTCTCTCTCTCTCTCTCTCTCTCTCTCTCTCTCTCGCTCTCTCTCTCTCTCTCTCTCTCTCTCTCTCTCTCTCTCTCTCTCTCTCTCTCTCTCTCTCTCTCTCTCTCCACTCCTATTCTTTTTCCTCTTCTTCTTCTTTCCCTTCTTCTTCTTCCTCCTCAGTTTATCTTTACATTTCTTTATTTAAGGCATATCTAAATAAAGTCATCAGTCATCGTCAACTGTAGATTTTTAAATACATCTTTTTAATCCATCTTATTTATTAATTTACTCGTCCATTTATTTATTTATTTATCTGTTCATTCATTCATCCATTCATTTATTTTTTCATTTTTCAATGTCGGTCGCATCTCTTCAGGTTTCGTGTCCCGCGGAAATTTCTCGCGTTTTCTGCCCGAGCCGATTCGACGCCGATGACAAATTACTTCTTGGCCGTTGCATGTCAGATACTTGTCTTCACTGCTCTCTCTCTCTCTCTCTCTCTCTCTCTCTCTCTCTCTCTCTCTCTCTCTCTCTCTCTCTCTCTCTCTCTCTCTCTCTCTCTCTCTCTCTCTCTCTCTTTCTTCTTATTCGTACTTCTCTGTCTTTTCAATTCTTCTTTTTTACTTTTCTTCTTTTTGATTCAGTTTTCTTTTCTTTTTCCCTTTCTTTCTTTTTATTTTGATTGATTTCGTTTTTTTTCTCTCTTCTTCTCTTCCCTTAATTTCTATTTTGTTTACTTCTCTTATCTTTAGATTCTCCTTTCTTTTCTTTCTTTCGCTCCTCATCTCTTTACCCTTCCTGTCTCTTTTCTTCTTTTATCTTCTCCCTTCCTCTCTTCTCTTCTCTTCTTTTCTTTTCTTTTTTCTTCCTTTCTCTTCTCTTTTCTTCGCTTCTCTTCTCTTATTTCTCTCCCGAATGTATTTTCTTCTCTCTCTCGAAAACACGCAACATCATCATTGTCTCCATTAACCTGAGTGTATACTATCCTCGCTACGCACGCGGTCCGTCCCTAAAACTGTCTCTAGATGGCAGCGTCCTAAATCATACAATATACATATATATGTGTGTGTATATTTCCATCCTCACGCACCTTTTAGTTCGATAATCATAGCTGTCTCTTTCTTTCTCCCCCCCCCACCCCCCCTCTAAGGTCTTAGCCCCACCATTTGCCCTCGTCTTTCAACTGTCTATTTCGCCCTCCCCCCCCTTTTTTCAAGTGTCTATTCTCCCCCCCCCCTTCTTTTAACCGTCTGCCCCCACCCTTCTTTTTTAATTGTCTGTTTCCACCAAATCCCTTCTCTTTACCAAACTACCCCCCCCTCCCTCCCTCCCTCCCCTACAGGTAATCCTCCTTCCCCCCCTTCTCTCCCCTTTCCTTCACCCCACTCTATTCCCTCTTCCACCTCAACCCCTTGCTTTTCCTTTCCCTTGATCTACTATCCTCTCTCTTCAACTCACTACCCTCCCCCCCCCTCATTCCATTAAAACCACCGACCCCTCCCTCCCTCCACCCTTCAACCCCCCCCCCTCATCCTCTCCCTCCCCCTCTCCCCTCTTTCCCTCCCCCATCCTTTCCCTCCACCCTTCAACCCCCCTTATCCTCTCCCTCCCCCCTCCCCCTCCCCCTTCTCCCTCCCCAATCCTTTCCGTTCCCACCACCCTTCAACCCCCCTCATCCTCTCCCTCTCCCTCCCCCTCCCCTCCCCTCCCCCCTCTCCCTCCCCAATCCTTTCCCTTCCCCCTTCAACCCCCCCCCCCCCACCCCCCACCCATTCACCCCGAAAGGACACACAAGCTACAATAACGTAAACACTGCTTCCCCTTCAGCTTAACTCGCTCGTGTGCCTTTAAGACATTCGCCAAGGAGGTTTATGGAGGTTCAGGGAGGTTCACTAGGGTTCAAGGAGGGTCACTGGGGTTCAAGCAAGGTCATTGAGGTTCAGGGAGTCACTGGGGTTCAAAAGGTTCATTGAGTTTCAAATGGTTTATGTTCAAGGAGATTCAAAGAGATTTATGGAGGATTACTGAGGTTTATGAAGGTTTGCTGAGGTAGAAAAAGGATCGCGATGGTTCACGATGGAGGTTCACGAGGATTCGAAGAGGTTCATTGAGGTTCAACACGGGAATTGATGATAATTATCTTAATGAATCGGAAATACTCGAAGCGCATGAAAATCCAGTGGTCTTTGGATTAATAGTTTAGGATATGAAGCTTTCTTTTTTCTCTTCATTATTTTTCCCTTTCAATTTTTTTTTCTCAATATGATTTCTGTATATCTCTCTCTCTACCTCTCTCTCTCTTTCTATTTATGTATCTATCTATCTATTCCAATATCCATCTAAATATTTGTTCATCCATCCATCTATCTATCTATTAACGTAAATCGAGGGGGGCAGGCAGTGGCATTCACTCCTTGGCGATGTCATTCATGAGATCGATTGTATGGCTTGTATGGTTCCCTCGGCCTTTGCAACATTAATGGCCTTCGAGTCACGTGCTCAGGACTGTAATTTCTGTGGCAGTGTTATGCGCTTCCTGATTGATATTCTGGGCCTTGGATGTAAGTACACTAGCACAGGGATTAGTGTACATCTACCATGACTCTGTTATGCTAGCGTGAGGTCCCCGTCCTGGCCGAGGGGCGTCCTGCAGCGGTACTTTTCTCTTCGGTCACTTTGGTGAAAAGTACACCAAAATCAGGGAAAAGTATGAATGACCCGACCACGTGCCGAGGCAGCGACGTCCGATGCGGAGATCCTCAGGTTGGCCTCCGGTGGGCGGGACTTCGGCGCAACTCGGGGCGGGCAAAGGTCGCTCTCCGACGCTCAATTCGCCTTTTTTTGCCCACCTGAAGGGCGAACGGGCAAGCAGCCGTCTCTTCGAGGGCCGTCTTGCCTCCATCGCGACGAATGAATGCCGGTAATTAGGCTAACTTTCATTGGCACCCCTTCCCGGCACCGAGTAACGATCGCGGAGGGCCGGGCGGGCCTCAGCGCCACAGAGAACGGCGGGCGCGCGGCCCTTAGTGCTCTCCGCGACGCGAT